AATTTAGAGGACTTATCATGTGACCTGCACTGACCAGGTACTGGGCATCCAATATCCCATGAATGTGATCTGTACAAAGGCAATTTATAATTGACAAGCACATATTGGAAGCCTATTGTATACTGGCACTGGGTTAGGGCTACAAATATAAATAGAGAATAAGCCCTGTTCCTGAGAAGTCCCTGGCATGGTTAGGGCCACACAGCTGTGTCAGGCAACCTCACTTTCCGCTTTGATTCCATCATCTGCAAAATGAGGGTATCTGATGAGGTGACTCCTAAGCTTCTCTTTTGTCTAACAATGAATGACTTCACACTCAACTGGGCTAAGAGATCGTGCCATCTATTGATAATTCCCAAGCCTTTTAAATTTTATCACTTAATAAGCAATTTTGCTAAATGATACTGTAGATGATCAATATGGAATATTTGGGGAGGTCTTCGAGGCCACATTATGTGGACTGGGGGTGCTAGACAGTGTTGGCAGCCGCAGCCGCCCTCTATGGAGTGAGATCACACATGGTCAAGGCAAAGCCCAAAAGATAAAACCATAGTGTTCCAAAAGGAAGATACCTTAAAGTCTTAAAGACACCTAGTTTAATGTGTTCATTTCTATACGGAGTCTCAGAGAAAAAAGGTGATGTAGTTCATGGCCAGCTAGGCATCTAGTTCCCTGACATTTGACTTTTTTTTTTTTTAAGTAAGCTCTATGCCAAACGTGGGGCTTGAACTCACAACCTTGAGATCAAGAGTCACACACTCCATGGACTAAGCCGGCCAACACCCCGCACCCCTCCCATGCTAGGACTTTTTGTACTGCCCCACAATATATCACAATGGCTAAGAGACCAGTTTCCAGAGCCAGACTGCTTGGAATCAAATCTTTACTCTGCCACCTTAGAGCTATGCGATCACAAATTAAGTTATTGAGCTTCTCCCCATCCTTGTCAAGTTGGTACCACAATATTACCTACTCACATAAGGATTAAGTTAGATAATACTTATAAAATGCATCAGCATAGTGCCTGGCATAAAATAAGCCTTCAAAAAGTTACAATGGCAATGATTATAGCAAACACTAACATAACTTACTATGTGCCAAGCTACATTCTAAATAGTTTATACTCATCATCTCATGTACTCTTCACAACAATCCTATAAATTGGCAGGTACTGCTATTACTCCCAGGAAACCACAGCACAGAGCAGCTGAGGAACTTGACAAAATAAGCAGCAGAAGCCAGATCTGTATGTAGAGCATCCGTCTCCAGAGTCAGAGCCCCTAACCACGACACTATGGCGTAGGGTCTCTCATGACTTTCTGTTGCCAATATCAAGTCTTCCTATGGGTCAAAGGCTGCCATAAATGCTCAACACAAATTAACTCACTGAGTCTCCATGTCACCCTATGACATAGAAATTATTATTAAGTTTATATTGAATGTTTACATGAACACAACAAGGGGATAAAACAGAAGGCTGAGACCGTGGAGGGAGAGGGTCAACAGATACAGTGCAAAGAGAAATGACATGAGGACTGAACATTCATAACTATCAGGGAACTACTCTACGCAGAAAATGTTAATGGCTATTTCAGATGGAAGGGACATGTGTGATCAAATTAGAGACGGTGGGCCGGCCACAAAGACGGCGAGCCTTGTGGCAGCTGTATGGTTCTGTTGAAGAGCTGGATCGTTAGAACAATTAGGGGGAGGAGTACAGTGTAGTGGGAAGGGTTGGGCTTTGAAGTCAAACACTAGCTCTTTTATTTATTAGCTGTGTGTCCTTCAGCACGTCACTTAAATTCTCTGAGCATTTTTTTTAAATTTTTTTATTGTTATGTTAATCACCATACATTACATCATTAGTATTAGATGCAGTGTTCCATGATTCATTGTTTGTGCATAACACCCAGTGCTCCATCTGAGCATTTTTTTTAATTAAAATGGAGATAATACCTAATTTATAAAGTTGTGGTGAAAATTAAATGAGAGATATTTTAAGGGTCAAGGACAGGGACTAACAGAATACACTAACAGACAAAACATTTAGCAAATAGTAGTCCCCCTGTACAGCACAATGTGTTGATTAACCAGGATAGTTTGAATTACGGGGGTTCACAGTATAGGGAAAACACACACTCCTCCATGTATGGGAAAATTGAGAACCGAAGTGTCATCTTGCTCTCCTGCCTTATAACGAACACCAGAATATTCTGCGAAGAGCACAGGAGAGCAAAACCATGTGTCTTCTGATTTCCCTCTGGGACCAAGAAAACTTGGTTGGCTATTTGTCCAGACTGCTCTAACGGAAGGGCTCTTCCAGCATATATCCTTGGGGATGGCAGAGAACACAAGTCTGACCACAAAGTAAAATTCTGGATATCCAATCTTGGATACGTTGCCAAGTCCTCCCAAGTACTTTCATATGACATCACTCTCTTGGTTCATGATTACTCAGAAGGCTTGATTATACCGTGAACTTCCCAAATCGCAAATTATTGAATATCCCAGATGTTAAAAAAAAAAATCACTCTTTTCTGTTGATAATATTTTAAAATCCCTGCATAAAATGCTTAACTGTTATCCCATTGATTTCCTTGCTCTTTCACCCGACATAACCAATATAAAATTGGTTAATACCTTCTTCTTTCTCAAGATCTTCACGTCAGTAAATTACTATTTGTGGAATAGAATTATAATTCTAAAAGAATATGTTTTATACTGTGATTGATGGAAAAATATGCTTTTAGCTTGCAGGGAAAGATCAATTTTCTGACACTTCAGCTCTAGTTGCTCAAATGCATTATGATTATAAAGCACCAATTATGGCTAATAATGGCATTATTCTCACCTCAGTAAGTACTTGGTTTGGTAAAGCTTTAAGAACTCTCAATTTTGGCAATCAATTTAGTTAACTACAGGGAATAGCCTATTTCAAATAGATTATTACCTTACTGTCACATTGCTCCCCAAGCTCACATACAATCAAAGTGAATTGTCACTCAATATACATTTACATATACCCCTATTAAGCTTGCCAGATAAATACACACTCTAGAAGCCATAGTTGTACGATATCACAGTTTTCAAGATTTGAGTTCATATTCTCCACCACACTCACCCCCAAATCTTTCAGGTTCTATAACTTAACTTCACATGAGATTAGGTAAAAATCACAGAAATAGCCCAAATAAGGGGGGTTAGCGGGTACATGAGTTCCAGCTAAGTTCCGATGGGGAAGTAATGAATTCTATCTTGCTTTTTGGACCCCACCATTCAACTATCTCACCAGCCAGAACCTGGCAATATTCTAGAATTTCTTCCAATCCTTCATCTCCTATATCCTAGTTGAGGTACGCCAACACCATCTTTTAAATAAATGTCTTTTACATCTTTATTCTCCATTCTACTGCCCTAGCTTCAGTCTTCCCTTAATTAATGGTGCAAAACAAAAGCTTTTCCACTTTATAAGTTCATGAAACAAAAAATAAAAACATCACAGGGGCACCTGGGTGGCTCAACCCGTTACATAGCCAGCTCTTCATTTTGGCTCAGTTCATGACCTTGGGGTCCTGGGATCAAGCCCTGTGTAGGGCTCTGTGCTCAGTGGGAAGTCTGCCTGAAGATTCTCTCTCTCCCTCTCCCCTTCCCCCCACTCGTGCGCACACTCTCTCTCTAAAATAAATAAATCTTTAATAATAATAAATAAAAAATAAAAACATCACAGAACACGCACATCAACAGATGGCAATTGTGGTCCTTTGGATTTAGCACCATATGGACTCCGGACACCTCTTAGAGCCATAAGCTCTAAAAAGATGCAGCTCTCACTCTTTTCAAAGTTAGTCCATCTGTGAAACACAGGGAAAAATTATTGTCCAGGGTGATGAGTATAATAAGAAATAGATAAATGGGGCTACAGGAGGATCAAAGGTTTTACCAGGCAGCTATAGGAACATCAGGATGATGAAGAAAAGCAGCCTAAGCAGAAGATACTGCTCCCGCAAAGGCAAGGAAGTACAACCACGCAGAATGGGTTAAGGCTAAAAATGAACTTTACAATCCAGAAAAGGCAAAAATCCACTATCCTACTGGGGAGTTCCATATGAAAAACCTTCCTGTTAATTGTATCATGGTCACATTTCTTTATCAAACAGGATTTATTTATATTGGCAATCTAATTGTTTACTTTTGATGTCCCAAGAAACAAAAGTAATCTCAGGGCAGCAGCTTACTACCCACTATGCGTTCACTAAAAGTGAAAGTACTTATACTGCCAGAATCTCTCAGGATAACTCCAGAAATCATATTTCCAGAATTTTCTTTTCGTTTAAACTTTAATAAGTAAATGTTCAATGTGCATAGTGCCCCTAACTACCAATAACAAGAATTTCTTCAAAGAAGCATAAACACAAATTCTTTAAAAAAAAAAAAGTGAAGCATAGCTACCCTTCCCTCATTTCCATCCTGCTCAGGCAGTGGCAAAGAAAATTGGCCTCCTAAAAATCAAGGAGAATCTCAATTAACCAGAGCAATGAGCTACAAGGTATATATAGACAGTTAAAACTCTCAGATAATCCACAAAGCCTTATTCTACTCAGATATTGCTACCCTCTACCTCACAAACCCTTTCACAATCACTACCAAAATTTGGGAAAACTCAGTACTTTGAATTTGGCCCATATTTCTTCCTGCATTATTTACTCAAAGGGCTTGGAAAGTCCAGGAGACAGAAACACAGTTATCAAAATGGAGGGAAAGCATACAAGAGACTGCAAAGGAGGGAAATGACTCTAACTTGGACTCCCAGCCACTGAGGAGTAGAGATGAGACAGAGGCAGATCCCACACATAATCTGTACAGCAATACTTTTTAACCAAATGCCAGGCTGCAAGACATTTTGAATCCTACTACCCCGGCTTTTCCACATTCCTTCTTCTTGCTCCACGCTTTCCCTTCCCCCAAGAAGGGCTAAAGGAACGTGTGTTTTTTTTACTTACAATTGTGAAGTTCATGACTTTGAGAATCCAGATGGTCATGGCCAAGTTCACCAGTATTAAAATCATCAGGAGTAGGACAAAGAAATACAGGCACCTTTTCCGCCAGCCATAAATGCCCACCTTGTATACCTGTGGCCCCTCAGAGCTGGGCATGGTGCTTCGGTGGTGTGTGTACTGTTCCTGAGGCATCTGAAATACACGAGGCGAGAGAGAAGCACTTACATTAAACTGCTGAGAGGGGGGAAAAAAAAGAAAAGAAAAAAAAAAAACCAACTGATGAAGAGATACGGCTGGCTGCTATCTGTACGTTTCCATCCTCCTGACAACTCCAAAAATCTGCTTCCTCTGGACAAAAGTGGCTCCTGCAGACACTGTATGAGTCCCCTCATTTTATGCAGCCATCTCTCGTGATGTATACTGAGACATCCACAGGCACACACACTATGGGAGGAACAGGACCCCTAGGAAGCCATTTTCCAAATGACTCCTAGAATTCCAGCATCTTTGTGAGGGAGATACTCAACCACCTACCCAAGTCCTGAGGGTACAACTGAGAATTTGTCTGAGAAAATAAATGAACCTCAGCAGTCCATCATGGTGGTATGATAAATACTATTCAGGCAATTTATTTGGGGGGTAAAATGATCTCAAATGCAATCATCCTGCACTGCCAGAAAGTCAGGGGAAAAAGTAACAATTTTCATCTTCCCCCCTACTTTAGAATTCAAAGGGATGTTGATGGGCACAGATTAAGCCTCACTGGACTCAGGAGTCTTCAAGTGACAGCCTATGCTTAAATGCCTCCCTTGACAGAAACCTCATCACGTGCTGACTTAGTCTGGAGGAGTTACACAATCCCAATTGTGGCCAATCAACTTACTTATTATTTTTAATCAACTCATTTATTTAATAAACATAAAGGAGGCTCAAAGTCCAGGAAGATGTGGGTATGCCTTCCAGGAGCTTACAGGCTAACGGGAGGAATGAACTCATTAAACAGTGATTATAGTACAGCGAGGTAAGTTAGAAAAATATTTGTCATTACTAAGGAATAGACTAATCCCCCTTAAAGTAATGAAGCTTTCCCTAATCCCTGCTGTTGACAAAATGATCTTTATACTAGCACTACTAATTAGGTGTCAACACAAATCTAAGTAAACTTATCACTTCCATAAAACTCTAAAACCAAAACAAATTTTTAAAATTAAATACAAACAAATCTATGAACGTGTATCATTCAAAAGGGACAAATAACAGACTACTACAAAGGATGATGATTTCCTAAAACTAAGTGGCACAATGTGGTACCCAGTGCTTTAGCACAGCATCTTCAGAGTAGATCATCCCTACTCTGCCATGAGCCACATGACAACATAGCCCCTACAGCTTTTCCCCATGCAAATACCTGCACAACCCTTATTTTGAGAGCTTTACTTCATTTGGCCCTCTTGTAAGCATACTGCATTCCCTAAGAATAAATCTTACCTCTGTTTATTTTCATCTTAGTCAACAGCAATTAAATTTGTGGGGCATCTGGGTGGCTCAGTCAGTTAAGCATCCAACTCTTGGTTTTGGCTCAAGTCCTGATGTGCCTGTCCTGAGATGGAGCCCCACATGGGGCTCTGCACTCAGCAGGGAGTCTGCTTGAGATTCTCTCTCCCTTTCCCTCCCTCCCACTCACTCTCTTTCTCTCAAATAAATAAAGTCTTTAAAAAAATACCAATTAAATGTGTTCTGCGTGGTACCAAAGTGACCATGGTGACAAACACAATGTGGGTTCCTAAAATCACATCCTTGGTTATTAGGTCATCTTCCAGATGGTTGGAATATGATTATTTTACAGTTTCTAGATAATCATTAAAGTGTACACATAAAATCTAAAAATCCCCTTGAGAACTCAAGGCCTTTGGACATAAGTGGAACTCCACTGAAAAACCCATGGCCAATGGAAATGTCCAATGAAGTCCTACATGACATTTATCTTATTCTAACTACCCTAGTGCCAAAATCAGGTTCTCACAAGAGTATTTATTTAAATATATGTGTATGGCATGAATGAGTGAGAAAACAAATGCATAAATGATGAATGAATGAATGATTTCCCGTCTGCTATAAAAGCTTCTGCCGTCTCGGGATATATAGAAGTTTAAGCCAAACACCATGTGGGAGAATCCATTTTAATATCCCTGAACATTTTCACTTTAGCCTCCCAAAGTACTGGGTTCCCAAGCAAGCAGTGAACTTCATGTTACAAGAGCATCTCCATTTCATTAACTTAGCTCCTTAGAATTCTATAGATTGGGGCTGTGTTGTAACAACATTGAAACACAACAAAGTCATTGCTCTTTTTTTTTTTACACATCAAGATCAATTAGAAGGGGTAAAAATGTCTTCTAAGTTTGAAGGAAATTAGGCCTTTCTTTTCCATTAAAACATATTCTGTAAGTTAAGGAAATGAGCAAAGAATCTTAAAATCTTATCTGCAAGGTCCTTTATTTCCAACCAACTAATTTTAAGAATGAGCTGCTTTAAGACTAGAGCTGACCCACTTGTGCATGGATATAGGGTTTGTGGTAGGGCAAGGCAAAGGTAACAATTTTGGACCCTTGCAGGAATGATGACCAGTGAGAAATTCTTCACAAACCAGGGTGCAGAAGCTAGAGGTATTGGCACCACACCAGTTGCTTTTTCTTTGACATTTGCCCCAACCAATGTGGGAATTACATAATTTAGCTTTAAAGTGGAAGTGACATGTTCAATAAATACTTATAAGAGACTGGGCATATGGATATCACATTTGTGATTTTTTTTTTTCTTACAAAGATTGTTAGATATTGACAGAATGCAGTGATTATCTCTATTAGGGTTTCTCAATCCTGGGTGTGCATCAGAGACAGTCGTGGAGATTTTAAAAATCTACATGCTCAGGTCGATTCAATAATAATCACAAAGGTAGGACCCAGGCATCAGCATTTTTAAAGGGTCCCATGTAATCTTAAAGTATAGACAAGGTTGCATACCACTGGTCTAGAATAACATCTCTCAACCCTGACTATGCATCAGGCTCCAAAATAAACTTCTGACAAACACAAATTCAAATTCTGAGCTCTACCATGGAATTAGAATGGTCAAAAAAAATTTTTTTTCCCTAGATTATTCCATAGAGACTACTACTTTAGAGACTACTTCTCTAAAAAAATGGCCTTCAATCTATTTTTTTAATAGTATGACCATTTTAAGACACAAATCATGAAACAAATTCTAGAATATGAAACAGCAAAAAAAAAAAAAAAGCAGAGCTTCTCTGAGGGCTTGGAAGAGAACTTGGACTCCTCGGAACCACAGATTTGCCCACCATATTTACTGACTAGCTGAGGTGTTTGAGCCAGGAAGGGGAAGTAGTTCTCTTTCAAGTCATGCAACAAATTAAAAGCCGAGTGGGGATTAGAACTCAGCTCCCTCATGCATGTGTAGTAGCCTGTTCTGTCTACCATAAGGGCTCTTGAGTCTCCAACCATACCAACTGTCTAGTTTAATGAGCCACATAAAACAAAAATGCTCTAGTGTGCCATTCAGAAGGGAAGGGGAAAAAAGAAAGAACAGGGAAGGGAGAAGGCAATTTTGTACAAATGGTGCCAACAGGAAGCTATGACAACCAAGTGTAAGGAAATGGATACATCTGTTAATAATGTTCCATAAAACAGGAAAATTTAGATATGCTGAGTACATTAATTTTTCTAGGCAATACTGAAACATGTTGAAATGATGAAAACAGAAGAAGAAAGATAATCTCCAATCTGTGTTTCCTTTTGATCCTCCCCAGTAGAAAACCCTCTAGGGTATGAAGTTGAAGTTGAAGGTCCTCTCTTGGCCAGGCCCGTTTCATGACTCTGGGAGGTACCCCAGTAATGCATTAACATTATCACCCATTTTTATAAAATTAGCTTAAGATGTTTTAATTACAACTAGTTAAGACCTTGTATTTTTCAAACTCCCTTTTTGTTGGGTGGATTTGGAGGATTCCCATTAATTTTGGAGCTCCAACTAACAGGAAGGTAAATTGGGGGTTCCTATGATTTGTGTGTAGTAAATGTTTATATCATTTGCAGACACTTCCCTATAGAGGTACATTATTTTCTAGCCCTCCTAGTGTAGGAATGTCTTCCAGAAATTCTTCTTTCGCCCTTGGTGTCAACTCCCCAAGCAGGGTGTGGTGAAGATACAGGACCAAAGCACACAACGTGATGTAAATATGTCCTATAATGGCCAGAACCAGAAATATATGGGTAGTGCAAAAGCCAGAAGCTAGGTGCATTTTTTTTTCAATCATCAGATATGTAAAATTTCAAGTAGGATTTAATTCTGACACCTAGTCAAAACAGAAATTCTCTCCTGACAAGAATATATTCAATTCAGCATATAAAATGATAAATGCTCCACCATTTTTTTTTAATGGGACTCATGGAAAACAAAATTGGAATTTTTATGTTTGTGGCTTATACATACTGTGTGTTTATATTCTGTATGTAAAGTTGCATTCTTTACATATCACAACCAGCAATTAAAAAACCTCAGTTCTGCTGAAATTACCATAAGAGACAACGATCTTTCTATTGTCTGTACAAGAAAGTGACAATGCCAAACAGCTGTCATATGAAGAGGCAATCAAAGGCTATGCAACCAGAAAGTGTGGAAAAAGTATGTCAGGTAATTATTCACAATATTATTTTTCTAGATTTTATGATAGGCCTTTTAAAATTAATAATTTAATTTCCTTTCTCATTCTAAGTATATTCATGTTTTTAGTGTGTTTGTATTGGTAATTTTTTAGGGTTTTTTTTTCCCCCTTGAAATAGCCCAATAAATTGGTTAGGCTTCAGGCCTCATGAAACTTGGCTCCTCCTCTAGTCCCTCCCATAAAGGACCCCCGGCATATGGCAAGACCTCAGTGTACCACCACCATGAGCCATCACCGCTTAGCTGAGCACAGTGGATGGCACTGTTTATCTGTCTTCCGCTGGGAGTGATTTTTGGACTTTTGAGTAGATAAGAATACTTTGCAGAAATTGATTAAATGCACATTCCTAGGCCCCACACCAAGAAAGTCTAACTAATTCAGTAAGTCGGCCATGCATCCCAGGAATCTGTGTTTTTAACACACACCAAAATCGATTCTGATACTTGTGGCC